AAGGAACAGCTCATGATCCAGAGCATACCACATCATCTGTCAAACATGGTGGAGGCAGTGTTATGGCGTGGGCATGCATGGCTGCCAAAAAAACCAGTGTTGATTGATGAACTGACTGCTGGTAAAAGCAGCAGGATGAATTCTGAAGGGTATGGGGCTATACTTTCTGCTCAGATTCAGCCAAATGCTGCCCAACTGATAGGACGCCGCTTCATATTGCAGATGGATGATGACCCAAAACATACAGCAAAAGTTTCTCAAGGCAAAGAAGTGGGATGTTCTTCAATGGCCAAGCCAGTCACCCGATCTCAACCCAACAGAGCATGATTTTCACTTCCTGAAGACAAGACCGAAGGCAGAAAGACCCCCAAACGAGCAGCAGCTGGAGGCAGCTGCAGTAAAGGCCTGGCAGAGCATCTCGAGGGAGGAAGCTCAGCATTTGGTCATGTCCATGGGTTCCAGACTTCAGGCAGCCATTGACTGCAAAGGATTTTCATCCAGGTATTAAAGGCGATCCTCATGTTTGTAACAATGTTGGTTTGTTCCATTACTTATGAGCCACCAACGATGGGTGTGTGTGCACTGAATGGTTAGTGCCCCCCTTTTGTCAAACCCCTTGAATTACAGCTGAAAGTCCTGACTTCGCTCCCATCTGGGTGTGTTTCCTTTCAACTTCAGTGTGGGCGTGTACAGAGGCCAAATGCCAGAACAGTTATCCTTGTTCCGATATTTCTGGTCCTGACTATATGTTGATTAACATCATCTATGTTGATAAGGAAGTCTTCACTTTCTTATCTAGGTTACTCATCCAGAAAAATGTAAAGCAGACTGCTTAAAAAAAAACAAACAACCCCTAAATTTTTCAGTCTTCGCTTGTACCCGGGCTATTTAATTTGAACCCACTTCCCCAACATTTTTCATTTGTCATTTCCAGGCACCCACATAGAAGAAACTTCGCATCCATGTAGTGTGTTAGATGTGTTACTTGATTCCATTAAAGAAGCGATTGTTGTCAGGTTATCACCCGAGATCCTTTCCTTGCCAGACGGTCAAGTTGCAGACCCTGCAGGGTGCTGTATTCAAGGGCTTCCATGAGGGTTTCCTAAAAGGCGCCTTCAGGATCTCCAGGGACAGGCAAAAGTTTACAGGGTCAAGCCAGAAGAAGCCGGGAGAAGTTGTGCTCCCCACTTTCCCCCCACAGTCTCTATGCTGCCCCAGTCAATGCAAGCCAGGACCCTGTAAGAAGACAGCCTCCCGCTCGATCCCACGTGGATGGGAAGGGATCCGCGAAAGGGGTTTTTATTAATTGACCACTTTATGCAGGTGCAGAAACACAAAGGTGCAAGGACCAGGCGCCGGTTCTGCGAGCAAAGCGCCGTGCCTGCAGCGGACCAATCAGGACGCAGCTCCTCCCCTATAAATACCAGGCGCCGGCCTCCG